ACATTGGTTAAGTCAGAGATCGAGTCCAAGTACATTATCCTGCTTTAAATAGCGTTCCCACAGATTGTCCCCTAACAACTATGTTGTCTTAAAATGAGCACAGAGCAAGCACACATCCTGTTGCTATCTCTTCCACCTGGTCACCCAGCCCCCAACATGCCTTCCCCCAATGCAGGTATTAGCTTTCCTCACCTGGGAGCTCAGGGACCTTACTATGGCTTCCATCCATCTTCTGATATATGTGACTGCTGAATATGCATGTATTATGGTTACCTATAAATATTCCAAGATAGTAAAGATGCTTTTTTCTCCCCAGTTCCACATGGACCATCAAGAGGGGCTGAGGAGAGCATGCTCCCATAAAATGTGTCTGACTCCTTTTTTGTACTCTCTCTCCTATCTTTCGTATCCTCTAAGAATTTACGATGATCTTTATATACTATAACCATACAATTGGGTCTATTGACCCTGCGGTTGTTAGAGGCTGGTTTCTCCTAACACATGTCCTCTACCTATATTGCCAGAAGTAAAGTTGCATGACTTATGACAGGGTCGTTCCAAGCACAGTTAAGAAGTACAGCCAGAGCGCTCCTTAAAGGCAATGATGGTGAGACTTCCTCTTACACAATTCAAATGTATCAGTTATTCTTCAGTCTTTCTTATTCAATGTCCAACATTCATTTGCATATGGGGCAATTGAAAATACCAAGGTTTGGGTCATTTGCCCCTTATTTTTCAAAGTAGCATCTCTGCTTTTCAATACTCTAAAGAGGGATTGTGCAACAGATTTCCCTATTGGAACTCATCCTTTTATTTCTCGACTGTTGATGGCATGGGCATTGATTGTGGAGCAAAGGATGTCAAAATTCTTGACCACTTAAATCTACTCTCTGTTATTCTGATGCTACCAATTGGTCTAGCTGTGGGGTTTGTCTTCTTTACGGTGAATGGTAATCCATACTGAAGTCTACAATACTTGATCTTCATCAGCCCATGCTTCAAGTCTTCCTCATTTTCAGCATGCAAGGTTGAGTCATCTGCGTATTGTAATTTGCTGGTAAGTTTTCCTGTAATACCAATGCCATATTCTTCTACTCATGGGGTCACAATGGGGAGCAGGTGATGCTTACCCTTATGAAGCCCCTATGGACTGTGCCCTGTTTGTTACTAAACATGTCAGGGTGAGCCACTTGAGTTTGAGTAATACTGTCATGCAACATCTTGCCTGATCTCTTCTGGAACCAGGAAGGGGGTGTTGGCATTTAGTTCAGTGAAAAATAATGCAGACCTCTACCTATATTGCCATAAGTGAAGTTGCATGACTATGACAGGGTCATTCCAAGAGCAGTTAAATACAGCCAGAGCACTCCTTAAAGGCAACGATGGTGAGACTTGTATGTGAGATGGTGTGTCGAATTGTAATTTATTTTCAAGGCTCTTCTTGAAAGTCTGTGCTCATAAAATTCATGAAGAGTTGGAGAGCGTTAAACCACTGAAACTTTAAATATATCTTACACAATCTCATTTGCATAAAAGTATATCTTTAATAATGATGTTAATTAATATGTTGTTAATTATATTTAAATATAAAAATTAAGCCATCAAAATAATTTTATCCAAATCTGTTTTATGTGATCTTCAAGTATATGTAAAAGATTCTCAGTTCTGTTACTTGTGAAAAGAATCTATACCAGATTGAATTACTCTCTATGGGCAAAGGGTCCTGAAAAGTTTATTTTAGCATTAATCTTTTACACAGGTAATTGCATTTCCTAGTTTGAGATCACTTAAATACTGGAAAAAATGAAAAATGAAAGGGCAGTATGTGCATAAACTAACAAATAATGTGGCTGTATTGTATCATAAAACACAAAGAAATGTTACCTATGTATTACACACACGGAAGTGTATGGATATGTGCGCACATACACACACGAAGTCTAATGAAGTGCTGGTTCCAGCAGAATATTCAGATTTGCCTTTTTTTTTTTTTACTTCATCAGATGAATAGCTTTTTGTCACTTCCTCATTCTTGAAGACAGTATGAGGAAGATCATGACCACATTCTTTTTTTTTTAATCGTTTTATTAGGGGCTCATACAACTCATCACAATCTATACATACCATCAATTGTGTAAAGCACATTTGTACATTCATTGCCCTCATCATTCTCAAAACATTTCCTCTCCACTTAAGCCCCTGGCAACATTCTTTAAAGTCCTTTTCCTTCCTCAGGTATAACAAAATTCCTTACTAGACCTGCGTATGTACATTGGTACAATAAAGATCTTTCAATGCACGAAATTCAAGATAGATAAACTCCTCAGAGTCAGTAAGGGAAGTAAAGACTCTGAGTTTTTGGGAAGATGCGGGGGTGAGGGTGGGGGAAACTAATAGCAATGATGACTGTACAATCCCACTCAAAGGGAACAAACATCAGAATTTCAGGTGATAGGATGCATGGGGTGGTGGAAGTTAAAGCAAATATATATATATATTGAGGGTTCTGGTGGGTGCCAGTGTCGGGGAGAGAGAGTGGATAAGGGGGAGCTGATATGATGGCAGCAATTGTACAATTATGCTTGATCCAATAGAACTATGGATTGTAATAATATCTGTAATATCCCCTAATAAAATGTTTTGTTTTGTTTTTTTAATCCCTGCCAGTGTCCTCTGGAAAGATAATAGTCCTTTATGACCTTTTGTTCGGATCCAGATCTGAATCTTTCAAGACCATTTGTTACACAAGTTACCACATAACTATAGTTAAAGGAAGCATTTAAGAGATTTCTTGTTAACTTCTGTAGCAAAGTTCCACCAGAAACAAAGGAAATATTTTCAATACTCCCCTTTTTTCCTTTCACTCCTTATACAATTTGCTTATAGGGTATTAATATCTACTCCATTCTTTTAAATAACGCTAAGGTAAAGTAGCAGTAACTTGTAACCCTTTGAATTCTCTATAACAGGGAAGTTCTTACCTAAAATATCCCAAACCTTCAATACAGCGTCAAAGGATTTCCAGAGTCAGGTCTGATTATGAGTGGCACTTCTGTACTTCTTGATACTATTACATGTCTCGAATCTTCACCCCATATTTTCTCACATGCATTACAAATGTCATAGCTATCGCTGACCACAAATACAGGCACTGATGAAAACTGGGTTGCTCTAATTTTAAATGCATCTTTTTCATGGTCTTTCCCCCAAGCTGTTATAGCACTATGTACTGCTGCTGGAACAGAATAGTCTGGAACAGGATCTTTTGTTCCATAGTATTTTTTATTTAAAGCAATTCCCACTACTTGATGTGTTCCTGTAAAGCAGTGGTTCTCAACCTTCTTAATGCCATGACCCTTTAATACAGTTCTTCATGATGTCGTGACCTCAACCATAAAATTATTTCGTTACTACATCATAACTGTAATTTTGCTACTGTTATGAATCGTAATGTAAATCATAATGTGTTTTCCAATGGCCTTAAGTGACCCCTGTGAAAGGGTCATTCAACCCCCAAAGAGGTCGCGACCCACAGGTTGAGAACCACTGCAAAGTTAACCAAGTGAGTGGAGGCTCCGATGCCAGCAGTCTCTTGGGAAGAGAGTCCTTCGTAGCCAAAATCATGTAATTTATATTCAAGACCATTTAAGTTGCAGATGTTTCTAACATACATTTAGCCAATATTGTTTTCTGCTCCCTTGACTTTGTGGCCACTGTGATTGGATCCCAAGACTACACAAGTATAGTCTCAATCCAGTGTTGTAGATGTGTCTAGTGATTCTGGGCGATCTTAGCACAATGTTGTATGGCAGCAACTGAATGGCCTTCTAGCCCCTCCTTGGAAATCCGACCCAGCTGAGATGAAGTGTCTTCTGTCAGAGAGGTTTTAATACGGACATATAAAGCAGGTGATGTATGTCCCATGAGCACTAGGCAGGCGCTCTCTCTCTTGTTGCTTGGGAGATCAGATCAGAATATTGCACAGCCTGAGGGTAAAAGCCTTCCTTCATCTTGGTGTTTATCATACAGTAGTGGACACATACTATATTTGTCCTTTTGTGATCAACTAACTGCACTCAGTATAATGGATTCTAAGTCCCTTCACATCATGTGTTTCATAATTCCATCCCTGTTTCTCAGAAATGCATGGTATTCCATTGTGTGTATATACCAGAGTTTCTTTATCCAGTCTCCTCATAATGGATGTTGGACAGTTTCCAGCTCAATCAACATGGCAGAGTCTCTTACAATAAAATTTCTTAGGACAACGTTTGCTGCTCTCTGTACTCTGTGTTGTTATGTAAAGTCAATTGTCATTGAAATTTTTCTCACCGATGCAATTTTCAGTTTTCTTAGAAGGCTTAATCCTTAGCCCCCACGATAACCATATGCCCACCCAGAAATGATACAATATAAACCCTGGACAATAATAAGGAAATAAACAAAAATGAAACCAGTTACACCAGTCTCCATAAGCTTCTGATATGACTTCTCTACTTTTAATTCATCTTTGAGATCTTCCAGGCCTTCCTTAAAATGGTCGATTAATCTAAAAACCACAATTTTATATTGAGCAGCCAAAGTTCCAGTGACATGGGGAGCTGTCCCCTTGAGTTTTATAAATACATGATAATAGCTTCCAGTTCACAATACTTTTCCTCCACACACCACAAAACATACACCCTACTTTTCTTTTCTTTTTTTTAAGGCTCTCTAAGGAGACAAAGACAACTGCATTGCTTAGAGAACGTGTTTGCAGCAATCCACTGATGCACCAAACATATGTGCATACATTTTACTTGGAATAACCCTTGCATATAGGAACTGCTTTGCTACCTAGCTCACTGGCTCCAACTGGATCCTAGGCTCTTCTTCCCACTGGGAAAATAAATAAATCAGTATGGGACCTTTGTGCCTCTCCCACATCCCTAAATTTTGTTTTGGGGGAACATGCATGGGGAACTGCCTCAAACAACTTGAGTAAATATATGTTTTTTTCTTTTTGTCCCCTGATTACCCAACTGGAAAATTTAGCAGCCTGTATACCTTGGTTGACTCTGCCTTCTGGGAGCCCAGCACAGCTTTCTCACTGGGTTGTCTCATTGGGTTATCTCACTGGGTGCCCCTCCTACAGTAATACATGGCCATGTCCTCAGAGCTCAGACCTCTCAGCTCCATGGAGGCTGTGCTTTGGGATGTTTCCCTGGTCATGGCGATGCTGCTCTGGAACTTGGATGGGTACCTTGTTCCACCATTACTAGTGGAGATCTCTCCCATCCACTCAAACCTGTGTCCAGGGGTCTGCCTCACCCAGCCAATAAGGTAACTGGTGAGTGAGTATCCAGAAGTTTTGCAGGAGATCTTCACTGAAGCACCGGGCTTCTTCACTTCAGCGCCAGACTGGACCAGGTGGACTTCAGAGTCATTGCCTGTTGAGTGAAGACGGGTGGACAAAATCAATCTAGAAGAGCTACAACCACTTCCTCCTCCCTGAGACTGGTGACCTCTTTACCTGTAGCTGCCACCACCAGGAAGAGGATTCTCAAGATCCAGTCCATGGTGTGAGAGCTGTCTTCTCGGGGTTTCTGTCAGTGGGGAGGGGGGGGCGCCGGGTATGCTAGTTAAATGATCCTTCTGGAAACACAAACATACTAATATTTGATATAGTCGATCTCTGATTGTTTGCATATTCATGCGGTAGAGTATTTAAATGGTAAGGCTTCTGATTAATAAATCACTTGTCATGAAGAATTCTATCATGCAATCCCTGAAATCCAATCAACAAAGTTCTATTTTGCAACTTTTGAATCTTTGTGACAAACTTTGTATTTCAATCACTCATGGAAATTATAATGACTCCTGATTGTTCATGTGATTAAATATTAGACTGTAGCAGTTCATTAAAAATTTTCATTTTTTCATCTTAAACTTCAATAAACTTTAAATTAGCCTTCCTTGGCTAATTTATTAACCTTTCACTGACTTTGAACATTGTATTTCAGGATGAAATGTTTTGGACAATGAATACAAGATCATTTTTTCTTTAATTTGTCATTTCAGAAACAGTAAACCACAAGAATTATGGACCCCCCAAAACATCAATACTTACCCATTTAAAGTTTTGCATACCCAAGATATCAATATTCAGCATTCCAGTGATTTATGAAAATTCCAAGTGTATTGGAGTCATACTTCACAATTCCATATTCTTATTTTATAGACATTAATCTCTTTAGCATCTTATGTTATTTATCTTATGTTATGTTGACTTGGATGAATGTTAACAGAGCAAATCTGCTTTCCTCTCAACAACTCAAACCCATTTTGTTATATGTCATTGATTGCAATCCCTGTAATGCGATAGCACTTCTCCCTCTTACCCCCTGGTTTCCAATTTGCATTACTTTGTTTTTCCTACTTCTTCTGGCAGAGGATTTTGCACTTGGATAAGTGCTGCCATTTTCTTCAATTGGTCAATCATCCTGAGTGTGTGTTCCCTAGTGGGTTTTTTCACCATGCTATCTACTGTTCAGCTAAACATTGAGCAACTGGAATGAGATATATCCCAGGCCTGAAGGGTTACTGAGGTCTAATCTCTCACGGATTCCACCAGTCTCTATCCAACCAGTAAGCCCTGTCTTTTTAAAATGGTGTTCTACATATCTTACCACTTTATCCAGGCCTTCTAAGGTAAGGGTAGAGAAATGTTGTTATTGTTTTATCTTTCCAAGGGCCCTTTTGATATTTATGACCTTATTTGTGGGCCATCCAAAATTATTAACTTAAATATTAGCCTGCTATAGTTGGCCGAACATCAAGTTAACCCATCCCTACTGTGATAGCTGAACCTTTACCCCCTTTATTGATTTATTTCTTATGACCCCTTTTAGATAGGTTGATAATGGTAGCCAGATGGTATCTTCTTCTTCTGGCCTCAGGATTTTGTAGGCTGATTTCTGTGTGGTGCATTAGCCCATTGGATTCAGTGTTTCCACGTTATTCTGCTGGATTTATTCTGTGATCATCTCCACTCTAATTTGTTCTGGGGAAGAGACAGGTGAATGGCTGCACCTTAAATGACTCCTCACAGGTTCTGAAGACTTCTATCTCTGCTCAATAATGGAGAATTTACCACATTGTCTCTGTGGACTTCTTTGTGCCAATTAACCTTGATGTCCCAGAGACTGATCCCTGAGTGGGTAATTCCTTCTCTAAGTCTAGTGAATGCTCATAATTTTGTCTTTTATACTATAGTTTCTCACTTTAGTCCTATAGCATCAGCAATGAATGTCCTGAAACCTTTTCTCCATCCCTGTCACTAAGGATGACTTTACCTTGAGGAAGCAGCACGTTCCATGTTATATTGTGAAAATATTCTGAACTGGTGCCTCAACTTCCAGCAGCATACTGGATAATGTTCTCTTGCTACCCATAAAGCTTCCGTTAGCCAACTTTTGAAGAGACATCATCATGGGCTCTTCCTAGACTGTCTTACTAAAGGAAAGCCATGAACATCCTCCAACACTGAACAATATTATAGCTTCCAGAATCAAAGCAATTTTCAAGTCCAGAAAATGAACAACCAAATGAACGTTTTCATAACAGTACTAGAACTGCTTAATACAGTGCCCTCAGCGCGTCCTCCACACATACTCTCTCTTCCCATGACCTACTTCCCATGTTATAACTGGGACAATCGTTTGAAAGAGAAAAGCATTTTGTATCAATCTTCAGTCTAAAATGTTCCGAGTGCTTCCACTGTCTTTGGGAATGGTCCCGTCTTTCTGCAAGATGCAGCATAAATCTTCCCTCTCCATTTCGGAATCCAAGCTCCAGACACAATGATCTCCTTGAATTCCCTCAAAATTGCCAGGCTCTTGCTTACCTCATAATCGTCCTGAATCGCCTTGGTGGCATAGTGGCTATGTGTTGTGCTGCTAACTACAGGCCAACAGTTCAAAATCATCAGCTGCTCCTCAGGAGAAAGATGAGGCTTTCTACTCCAGTGAATAGTCACAGTTTCAGGGCAGTTCTACCTTGTCCTATAGGGTCCCTGTGAGACACCATTGAGTCCATGGCAGTGAGTCTGTTTTATTTTTGTTCTTATGTTTCTCCTAACTGGAGTCCTTGGATGGAACATTCAATGCACGTGACTGATCAAGAGATTGCATTTCCAATTCACAAGCAACAACACCCTGAAGAAAGTCCTGGCATCGTACTTCAAAAATATAATGAACATTGAAAACCCCAAGAAGTGTATCTTTCCTCTGACACACATGGGTCACTGAGACTTGGAATCCCCTGGATGGCAACTGGTTGTTTTACTTTTGGCTACTAGCTTGTGTTTAAGGAGC